TTGTTGTTTAAGAGCACAATTTACAATTTTGTAGATTTTTTTATTTTTTATTTTGTTGTTGTTTAAGAGCACAATTTACAATTTTGTAGATTTTTGGTTTGTTTTTTATTTTGTTGTTTAAGAGCGCAATTTGTGCTTGTGGCACCGTTTGCTTTGTTAACTGAGTTCTAATAATTGCTGAGGTATAAAATAACTTCTGATTACAAAATAAAAAGCCTTGACCAAAGGAAATTTCTTTTTTTTTCCCCTCTTTAAACAAATTTAGTGATAAAGCGTTTTAGGACTTTGGTTTGTTTAAGACTGCATATCTATGAATGTTATTCATTTCAAGGTTAGGTGACAACAACCCTATTGTTCCTATAAGGATTAATGCATCTGGCTCCCACTGAAAACCCAGTCAGGGCCTAAATGTGGAACTACTAATTTGTTACTCATATTCTAGCCCAGTTCAGACCCAATTGGGGCCCAGGTAAATATACCTGAACGCACCCTAGTGGGCCACAGATGGGCCTCATGTAAGTTAACCATCTGGGCCCCACTGAAGACCCAGTCAGAGCCCATTAAAATCTACCTGGGCAAACCCATGTGGGGCCACCATGGAACCCGTGGACAAACCCTTTTGGGACCCATATTGACAGCCCTCTTTTATCCCATATGGGGCCCACCTAGGTGTGCTGGCTGGGACAGTGACATTGCAGCTCTTCTGCTGTTGCTGCATCTGCTGCCCCCCACATCTAGAGGCCACAAAAAAACAGCAAAGATTAGCTCCGCACAGGCAGCCAATCATCTCGTAAGATTTGTCAAGGTATGCACCCGTAACACATTGGAACTAATGATTTTTGTTTTTTCTTTATGCAACACTAGTTTGTAAAAATGAAATGCCATGAGATATAAACATGTATGATGACATAAATACAGTCACCTTTGGTGTATCTTACATTGAATAATGCTGTATTTATAATTGGGAGAGACAAAATCTTTAAGGTCTATGCTTTCAAAAGGAAGGTAGTCCTCACATTTTGACCTGAACCAGGATAAGCAGAAGAGGATAGATGGAATATAATGAGAGTCATCATATGTCAAGCAAACTGTTTTAAAGAACATTTTACTTTTGACTGATATATGCCATTTAAATTTCAGGAAGGAGTCAGCCTTACTACTTTCCTGGAGAAAGTGGACACCAGACAACCATTCCTTCTCTGCATTGGTGAGCAAAAGAAGAACATTTGATGAACACTTTCATGCATACCGTATTGAAGAAAAAAATAATGAGCATGTTATTATTTGCATTGACAAGCTCACCTATGTCAGACCTTTTGATAGGCAATATTGTAATGAAAGTGAGAACATATATATTGTTCCACATTGTTACATGTTTTGAAAAATATTTTCTAATTGTGGTGCACTTTTGAAATAAATATTTTCTGAAAAAAAAAAAAAAACATTGCTTCTTTATTTATTTTTCCCAAGGGATTTTTATATGTTCAGAAAAGTAAATTCTTCAGCATTTAGTATTAGAGAATAACTCCTATGTAGTTAGAAAAAACATTCCATGAGAGTGTTAATATTACAATTTTAACACCTAGTTGGTTTAATTAAGTGTTAAATGATCAACTCCAGAAAGATTTATTATTTAACACTAAATATGAGTTACGGTGCCAACACTCCAAAAAGAGTCAAATTAACTCTCTCTGGTGTGGACCCATATAGACACTTCAAGAGTGTTAAAATCAAATCTGACAGTGTTGATTTGAGCATGTTGGATTTGCTGTGTACAGGTCTTTCCTGTAGGAATCACTGGCCAGCCACCAAACTAAACTCAGAGACCTCATTAACTGAACATAAATCTACTCGGCTTTGTTTTAATCTCTTTAAGTATATTCTCCAAATATTATTTTTACTCATATCAATTAAAGCTGTCCTACTAGAATCATTCCTAAATATATTTGCAGTCGAGACAACCTGGTGTGAGAGTGCCACATGTAAGAGTATTATTATTTATACGTTTAGTTAATTTCTCAAAATATTTTTTTTTCTCATTTGCATTGGGTGCATAGCAGTTTATTATTCTGATATATTTATGGTTATAATTCATATCTCTAATCTACCAATATCATATATTTCAATAATATTTTTATTAAATAGTCTTTCATTAGTATTCCCACCCCACTGGTATTGTTTATCCCATTACTACAATATTATTTACCTTATATTATTTTCCAGTTTTTATTTTTTTATGGAATTCTCATCCCATTTGATCTCTTGCAGGCATATTATTTATAGTCATAAAAAAATAATTCATTATTGTTCCTTAAACTGGCTACATAAAGCAGATCAGATTCAGCTTTGGGTGAAGATGTGCAGTCTGCCCTTCACTCATCGTCTTTCTTTTGGCTAATTGTTCCTGGCTCCTCTTTGTCTCATCTGTATGAGCTGGTCCTCCATTTCAGAGTCAGCGCTGGGAGGGTTCAGACACATTTTGGGGTGAGTAGGATGCATTCTTTGCTGAGAGGGGCTCCCTTCAGGCTCATCTGTTCTCACTTTCTCAACAGTGGATGCAGCTTTGTTGTTGGTCATTTCTGGGGTAAAATCTCTGTCTCTTTGGGCTTCATCATCCCTCTGCTTTCTACCCCCCTTCATCTGAGCCGGAGCCCCTCTCTGTGCCAGCTCCACAGCGTGGTCTTTAGCCTCCGGGGTAGTGCCCATTTTCTGACCACTCCCCGTCAGATCGAGGGTTGGACCCATTTTTGGAGCCCTCCCTACCTCTGAAACCCGTTCCAGCTCATTGTGAGCTTCATCAGCCTCCAGGCTGCTTTCCTCTGGTTCTGGAGCTTTGGGCTCCTCCTCTCCCAGCTCATGCTTAGACTCCTCCATACTGGAGTGTGGCTCGCTCTCTTCACTCTCAGCCACACACACATACACATTTATTGATCAGAGCAAAGCAGACTGCACATCTTCCTCCTCCCTCAATGCATGCACTCCCTGCATAATGTCCATGTCCTTCCTCACTGGTGACAGTTAAAGTCTGGGTTGTGATATTGTGTTATGCTGAATGTACTCTCCAACCTTCTTCCATGAAGGCACCTAATGTTAGGTCAGACAGCCTGACATACTTCAGCTCCCTACCAAATGACACAGCATATTCTACTGAAATAAACAGAGGTAAAAGAAAGACAGAGAAGTTGAGCAATGAGTTACCTATTAATGCTTAAATTGTTCAATTGAGCCCACTTACCAACTACGGTCCATGCTTTACGCTCACATCTGCTTGATTACTGTTAACAAGGCAAATTGGACATAGTTGACTTATAATAAACAAATCACAATATTTATTAAAAATACATCATATAAATATATATATCTAAATGTATATTTAAATATGCATTTATAGACATCTATTAATTGAATGCTACATTCTGTAGTATGGAGGAAAAAGACTGGATTTATACTATGCCATTTGCTAAACTGCCACAGTGTGAACAAAACCTGTCAAACAACTTTACAGCTTTATTCCTTAGTGAAAGCTAGAAACAAGAGGCTAACTGGCATGTGAACATTATTTGTCTTTGTGTAATATTTAAGGTAACACCTTGGCAACTTCAGAAAATGGCTAACGACCGACTGCGGTTGGGTTTACTTCTTAGCTTCAAGGTAATTTACGGTTAACGATTAGCATAAGTTACAATTAAATAACTTACAACGTAACCATAAGACAGGCAGCCTGTATTTATGCGTGTACCAGCATTAAGGAAAAAGACAAGCATTTAATGGTTCAGCTTAACTTGAAAACAAATGTAGAACCTCTGAACTGCTAGCAGGTTGCTAACGTTAGCTGTTTGGGACATGAGAGCCACTCCACAGAAGAATGGGCAACATTTCCCCAATCAACATACACGAACCGATACCCGTGTTTATATGGAAAACAATTATTAAGCAGTGTTAGGAATACCAGCATGTTCATAATATGACTCACCCGAGCCAGGCCCGACTCCAGTTCAACCCGCTCCAGACTACCCTCACGTGCCTCCGGTGCTAAAGACCTGACAACTGGCGCGTGGTCGTCACTGTGTAGAGTTGAAGTTCCACTGCATGTGTGCGGGATTTGACACTGACTTTAACTCTGCTCTTAGAGTGGGGTTACTCTCTATACAGTTGAAAATCCTCTATCTAGGTTGAAATAGATTTACTCTGACATATTGACACCCCAGTTTGTTACTGTGAAATTGTACTTTGCGGCTCCCCTTATTTGCTGTGGATTATCATTGCCTTATTCAGAAAAGCCAAGTTATGACCAGTCCACTGCTTAGGGTCCCGCGTTTTATTTTGGAGCCAGCAGCTGACTTTGGCTGTGTTGCTCAGGTCTAAATAGCCCGTGTGACAGGTACCCTGCAGCTTACAGCCACCAGCCTGTGTAAGTCTGATTTCAGAAATACCCTGAATGCATCATTTGATTGCTGCAGCTGTGTCACAGCAATAGAGTGAGGAGCTTTAGCTGATCTCTGCTTAATGTTTTTTTTTTTTTCTTTTATAAATATAAGCAAATTGTTTTGTTTTTTTGGTGTGTCATCCCTCCTCATCAGCTTAGCCTGTGGGGAGGCGCTTTTGGTTGTATTTCTCTTTTCAGGATGGATAGCAGGGATTTGAACATGGACCGGCAAAAGGAAAACGAGATGGGAACAACAGACACAGTGGTAAAAAGCAAAATGACAGTAAAAGACAATAAATATGATCAATACTTAACTATGGTTATTGGAAGGAGAAGAGAAGATATCAGTGATTCAGTTAATGAAAACAATCCCACTCTTGTGTGGAGGTATTGTTGGGTGTAAACCATTAAGGCCCAGATAATTTGAAATCACTTTAAGTAATGAAGCTGTGAACAATAAGTTCATGGAAAACTGAACGGGGAGACTCCCCATTTTCTTCCTCCCTATGGTCACTCTTATTTCCTTATA